AACCTTGCTGAGGTTCGATCCTTGTTAGGTATGATGAACCATCTCGCGAGGTTTTTACCTGATGCCGCTTCAATGTCTGCTTCTTTACGCAGCCTCCTCAACAAGGACAGCGACAGGTTTTGGGGACCTCAACAAGAGACAGCTTTTGAGAAGATCAAGACCACTCTCATCTCAGACAGATGCCTGGCAAGGTACACCCCCCGGTACTCGTAAATTGTATCGGCGGACGCGTCTTCACTAGGGGTTGGCGCAGTACTCCTCCAGGATCAGCCATCTGGTGAGAGACGTCCTGTTGCATATGCCTCCATATCGCTCACAAAAACACAGCAGAGGTATTCACAGATTGAAAAAGAAGCATTAGCTTTAACTTGGGCTGCGAAACGCTTCGACGAATTCCTAAGAGGCCTCGCGTTCCTATTTGAGACGGATCACAAGCCTCTCCTCCCGCTACTGGGTCGAGATCCTCTTGATTCTCTACCGCCGAGAATTCAAAAGTTCAGAATGCGTCTTATGCGGTACTCAATCACACTAACACACGTCGCGGAGAAAATCATTGCTACGGCGGACACACTTTCTCGCGCGAGAGTGATAAACACAGCGCTTACGGTCGAAGAGTTGTCTTAAGCAGATGTTTCGGCTCACGTAGAGGGAGTCGTTCAGTATGCGTTCTCTGACAACATGCTCGAACGCATACGCTCAGAGCAAGCAAACGACCCCGAATGTGTGTCGTTGCTCGAAGCTTGTATGCAAGGTTGGCCCACTAAGCACTACACACCACAACTTCTCAAGCCATTCTGGGCGCATCATGGTAACAACACGGTATGCAAGCAGATGCTTTTGAAGGACTCAAGGCTGGTCATTCCACGAGAACTGCGGAAAGAAATGCTTTGGAGGGTTCACGAGGGACACCAGGGAATTGCACGCTGCCGCGCGAGCGCTAAAGAATCTCTCTGGTGGCCAGGAATTAGCACAGACATTGCACAAACCGTGGCCAACTGCCAAGCATGCGCCACAGAGCGTACCCAATTTTCCGAACCAATGATTCCATCAGAAACAACCGAGCTGCCATGGCAGAAAGTCCTTGGCGTGGCACCGCCAGCGTGAGGTGACGAAATGAACGCCGGCGAGCACGCGCACCGCGTCACGTCAAAATGTATTGGTGCTTCGACTGCGGCCTGAAGTCATGTCCTCGCATGACACGCATCTCATGATTATCAAGTTTGCACCAGTCACATACCTTCGTCTTCTATTGGCGTTACGTAATACCAAATTTGATTGATTGATTGATATGTGGAGTTTAACGTCTGCAAACCACCATATGATTATGAGAGACGCCGTAGTGGAGTGCTCCGGAAATTTTGACCGTCCGAAGTTCTTTGACGTGCGCCCAAATCTGAGCACACGGGCCTACATCATTTCCACCTCCATAGGAAATGCAGTCACCGCAGCCGGGATTCGATCCCGCGACCTGCGGGTCAGCAGCCTAGTACCTTAGCCACTAGACCGACGCAGCAGGGCAATAATACTAAAATTTGGCGTATGTAAAGCTAGCGAAATGGCCACGAGCGCATCATCAGTGTGGCATGCAGTCATGTTGTTACATGACACGCATGTCGTGACTATCATGTTTGGATGTGTCATTTATTTATGTCGTCCGTTCGCGTGACGTAATACCGAGTTTGGTACAAGTGAAGCTGGCGAAACTGCCGCGAGCACATCATGAGCATAGCATGTAGTCATGTTGTTACAAGACACGCTTCTCCTGTTTATCATGTTCACAGCAGTGTCAGAATTTTGTCATCCATTCACGTTCCGTATTACCAAATTTGGTATAAGTGAAGCCAGCGAAACGGCCGCCAGAGCATCGTGAACGTGGCATGTAGTCACATTGTTACATAACACGCATCTCATGATAATCATATTTTCTCCAGTTACATACCTTCGTCATTCATTCATGTACCGTAATTCCAAATTTATTGTGCTTGACGCTGGCGAAACGGCCGCGAGCGCATCATGAGCGTGGCATGTAATCAAGTTGTTACATGACACGCATGTCGTGATTTTCATGTTAGGGTCTGTCGCTTGTGTTCGCCATGTAATCATGTCATACCATACCTGTCTTGCAACATGCCATGTGAACGAAACCACCGCAAAAGCTGCAGGACCATGAAATGTAAATCTTGACATTGATGACGTACATGTAATGATTTTCATTTTATGACTAGTCAATCAAATGTATTGTTCATACAGGCATGTTACGCCATACCAAGTTTCGTATTGATACTATTATCGAAACGGCCAGGAGAGCTAAAAGTCGTAGGCGGCTACTAGATAGATAGATAGATAGATAGATAGATAGATAGATAGATAGATAGATAGATAGATAGATAGATAGATAGATAGATAGATAGATAGATAGATAGATAGATAGATTGATAGATAGATAGATAGATAGATAGATAGATAGATAGATAGATAGATAGATAGATAGATAGATAGATAGATAGATAGATAGATAGATAGATACGCTGAAAGTCGCCGAAGTTCACTAAGAAATGCTTCGCATTTAAAACATTTCCTACGATGCTTCATAAAGAAATTTTGGTTAAGGTAACGACAAACAGTGTGCGAATTAATTGCAAACTATTTCACAGTTTTTTGGAGGACATCACAGATTGCCTGCAGAAACTGCAGTAGATTGTAGCAAAAGGGTCAAAAAAGGAAGTGAACGTAAAAAAAGATGTAGTGGTGAGGAGGAGAAAGACGAAAGTGACAGAGTAAAGTGTAACACAGAGAAAGAGATAGAGGATGGCAAAGACAGAACATTAAGGAAAGGAACAGAAAAAAGTAGCAAAAGAGAGAGAAGATACAAAAAAAGGAAGCAAAAACCGCATCGTCTATATTCGGCGACTACTTTTTCATTCGCATAGCTGTGGAAGTTACACTACGATAGCGTATGCTTGCTATCTCATTCGAAAAGAGTACGTAAGTGAATTATTTTTTTTGAATTGCCTTGCAGAAACAAATGCGGCTATACTTAATAAGAGGGCCAAACTTTTGTGGGAAGTCATGGGTAAAACACAATTGTAGGTCATTCGGAAGAATGATTTCATTTCCTTTCACTTCTGAGGCAGCAACACTTTTTCAGCACACCAATTTTCCAAAGTATTGATGGTGTTATTGACGTAGCAACTCCGTGAGTGGCCTCTCAAACGCTTTTTTTCATTTATAAAAAATATACTCATAAAATAACACTCACTCTAGGCTCAATGATCAGAACATTTCAAGATCAAAGATCTCAAGATTGGGGTAAAACGTTGTGTCAATGCAAAAAAAACAAATCTCTATGGTTATCAGCCACGCCCACTGATGTAGAGAGTCCATGCAGCCTCCGCTTCCTGTTTGCCCATGCAGTTGGAGCAACGAAAGTCCTGCGCTTCGACAGCCAGCTTTGAGGTGGACCCTTTAGAACAGTCAGTGTCAGGTTGTGGTTCGACTCTATTTGTCTACGCCATTATTAGCCTAGCATCAACCAATAACAGTTTAAGCGCCTTAGACCAACCAGCCTCACTGTTTCTTTTCAGCGACGCGTTTACGACGCGAGCGAACAGACCAATAAAAACCAGTATCTATATATATATATATATATATATATATATATATATATATATATATATTAAGCGTGAATACACTTTATAAGCGACCCCAAACCATCCACCGCCATCGGCGGCGTCCGCAGTCTTCTCTCTCTCTCTCTCTCTCTACCTATATAAATATATATATATATATATATATATTATATATATATATATATATATATATATATATATATATATATATATATATATATATATATATATATATATATATATATATATATATATATATATATATATATCGGTGTCAGCAACGCGCCTTATATCCAGATGGTAGCGTTGCCTCCGGGACATCCATCGCACGACCCGCTCTCGACGGGAGATTGAGAGAGAAGTCGGGCGCGCGAGAGAGAGGGGTGCGGGCGCAGCTGCAGCGAGCGAGGAGAGCGGAGGAGCGACACTGATATCAGCGTCGCGTCCGTGGCTTATTCGGTAGAGCGTCGCGCTGCGGCCCGCCAAGTCCTATTTCTTTTAAAGATAGAGAGAAGACTGCGGACGCCACCGACGACGGTGGATGGTTTGCGGTCGCTTATAAAGTGTATTCACACTTAAAATCATCTTCAAGCCGCTGTACTAGGTTCGGGAATCTGTAGTCTTCACTGCACTGCTAAGTCAAGTTGTCGCCGAATGTATACATATATACGACCAGATATTGCGCCACCTAGCCAAGCTGCTTACGTTCAACATCCTTTCTATGGCGCATAACCTGGCTGCACCTGATGGTGCCCATAGAGTCATGGGGCATCCTTATGCAGCGCGTACTCCCCAAGAAGAAGCCACGCATCAGAAAGTTAGAAGGCTCTGTCGACGACGAGTGTGATGAACTGCGTGCCCTTCCCTCGTTGTGCCAATCTTTGCACGACTTTGCATGAACTGTGCGTATTTTTATCGCTCTGGTTTACGTAAGTAGCGTTCTAAGTGTACTGATCAGCCAGTGAAGGCAAATGCCATGAAGCACAAGAAGCAATGCTGAATTTTATACCTATTACTTGTTTCTTTATATAGACCATGACCGGCAAATAAATTGGAGCAAATGGTCTGGTCAGGGCTGTGCTGTTGTAAAAACGCATTGGAGCGCACATAATGTGGAGCCAATTAGGCATGCCCTCATCGTGAAATCTTATCGTGATATGTATGTTCAAGAAGGCAGCGCGAAAACCTAAACGTGTTGCGGATGCCACAAATGAAAACGCGCACTGTTATAACAACCGATAGTTAAATCAGAAAACATTAGGACAGTGATGAACGTGGTCATTAAAATGCGCGTTTGACTTATTAGAACAGGAAGAACACAAGTGGCGAGATTTCACAAAATATTGCTATTATTGAATGGACATATTTTACCCGGTCAATTAGTTCCCGGACCATGCCATTCCATCGACCTTGGGCGTCTCTAGAACCGTGTGCTGCATCTCTGACGAGCTTGATGCGGTAACGGAAGTCCAGGTACCGAGATATTTCATGAAGGAGGTCCACGCAAAATCCCTCGAAGCGGTCATTGCCACGAAGCTTGTGAGCAGACGATTTCACCATCACGTATGGTGCGTTCTGTGAAATGGATAAGTAACATCATTTCGCTTGGACGAATAAATATTGAGCTGCTTTTGTACGTGTACTATTTCATGCATTTTTTATGACATGCTCCACACGCAAATGGCTGTACTTGAGGTCTGCTTTCATGTGATAGTGTTGTTTGGCGTGTTAGTCAAAGTATTTTTTACATGAGTGGTAAGTAAAACAAAGGTATAAACTCTATCAGTCGGCCTTAACTCTTTGGAGCAGAAAACGTAAAAAAATTACCGGGTAGAACTATAACCAGTATATTGGACTAATGATAAGTTTGGACAGCAGCATTTTGACCGCACTATACGAGAGTAGTGTCTGGTAAATATTCGACAAAAATACAATAAATATATCACAAATGCAACAGTCTAAACGTCATTATTATCCCATTTGTATTTCCTAGTACATCTAGGTCATATGAATATTTCATCTGACAAATTAACAGGCATATTGTTACTGACAAAAGGATTAAAATACACTAGAGGTAACTACACATAGCGCGACCTTTATTCATAAAAAGCAAAAGGTTCTGTCTTTTGACGTGACATGAAGATCTTCATAATTGCTTTCTCGGCTCTTGGAAGGTCCCAGCACTATTATTGCGCCCCAGAAAACTCATGAATACGCATTGCTCAGTATTCAATGTCGTGAAACGTGAAGAGAAACATCACGCTCGCGTGTGTTCCTTTTAGTCCTGCGGTGATTTTTTTGCAAAGCGAGTGTGGAACGCGGCGATGAGGTGCGACAGCCAGGCTTGTATTATGAGTGAGACTTGGGTTCAAGCCACTTTCTCGCGGTGTGCCAAAGCGTTGAAGAAATTTCGCTTCTATTAGAAATGTTTCGAACGGGATGGTAGCAGCGACGGTGCGTTGCTGAGCTAATCGCGCAAGTCAGGCATAACTAGACCCTTCCGTTTCAAGACGCCGACGGGAGCAGCTCCGGCTCGCCGTTTCATTAGGTACAAATTGTGCTAACCACGAGAAACGGGCAGTCAATTCCTAAAATCTAACGTATACCGTTGCTAAGCTACCTTCTCGTATCCTATGGTGGGAACTCACAGGTTTGTCTCCACATCACAGCCAAGACGGAAAACAAGCTTAGGCTGATAATCAAGGGTCTCAAACTGCAAAGGACGACTGAGGGAAAGCAGTCTCATTGGCCTATACCATGCGTTCCTCGTGAGTCACATTATTTACGCGACCTTATCGCTATATTAGTCAAAATGCGATGATGTCAAGCTCTACAGTTCAATGCGCAAAATTATATAAGCGTGGTTAAAACTCACACCAGCACCAGGTAAAGACCACAGACCTCCATTAAAAAGGCTGGACGAGGCATCTCTGCTCTCTCATGCAGGCGCTTCTGAAGCCACCAGAAATTCCCTTTGCGGTCCCGGAAGCTGGCGTCTTTATGGCGTTTTAGGCACGTGATTCAATTATTATATGGTGGCAGTTGTTGTGACTGTATTTTTTGTGTTTTTGATAATATAACATTCTCGTGGTCATCCAATGCTACAAGAAAATTGACAGACGTCGTAGCAATGCCGTCCGAATACGATGGAGTGCTGTAATCTACAACTATAGTGCATACAACAAACCCCACGATTAGGCATTACTCGGAACGCCGACTAGCGCTTCATTAAAAATGACAGACGCTGTAGCGACGCCTTTCGATATACAGTGGAATGGCGTAATGTACAACCTTACAATTACTGTTTTACAATTACCGGAGGGTCGGAGGCCTGGAGGGTCATGTTGTTCTAGTACCTGCCTGGGCGCAGCCAGCAATTGTGGCGCATTCCCCTTAGGCGTGGGGATTGGTATTCTCTAGGACCAAGTAAAAAATGTTTCACCTTCAACAACCTGCGAAAAAGAGCCCTGTGAGAGATATAATATGCTCGTCCTTGTAGCCTTTTTCGTGACTTTGGCGGTGGCGTAGTGCGTTAAACGCCCACCCGCAATAGTCGGGACCAAGAGGTCATGAGTTTCTCTTCCAATAACGTTTACAGTGAAAGCTTTATACGGCTAAGAAAAACAAAACTCCGTTCGGCAGCGGTGTTATCAGTGGTCTCCTTTGGCTGTCTAATAGTTACATTGTTCCCAAGCGCGCGCGCTATTGGCTGCGTTATGAGTCACGTGGTAGCAGCCATGGCGCCTATCCCATGCACAACAGTATCTCCTAGGACCACTCCACCAAGTTGGCTCGCGATGTCAGATGCTTGCAACAACGTGACATGATTGCGGGAGCACGTTCGCCAAGGCGAACGCCGGTTTCGGAGAAGTTTCTCCAGCGGCACATTGGCTTCGGCTGCGACGTCTGTGACTGCCTGCGATTCGAGAAGGACCACTGGGATTAACGCCTTGCGAAACGCATTTACCTGCTCATTGCATTCATTCATGGCCGTGTTCATGCAAGACACAATGTGCTGTGTGTGAAATGAACACTGTCGTAAAACCAAGCTAATGATGTGTCTAATCTCATTATTAAGCACGAACTTGTAACCAGTATTTGTGAAACGCTTCCCTCCCACGTCGGGTTTAACCCATCGGTATACACGGGGGCCGCATTTTTCAGTTTTTCTAGTTAACCATTTGTACGGAGTTTTTCAGCGGTGATTTTTTTCTTCGCCGTAAACGCGGCCATACATAGTCGCGTTTATTTTTCTCACAGTTTTTCTAACAGGCATGCTTCATCAAAGTATTACTGCACTGCGGCATAAAACGCTTTCGTGTTAAAAAACACAGAGCGCACAGGACGAGCGCTTTATCTGTACACTCAGTCTGTTTTACGGCTTCGTCTTTAGCGCTGCATCTATCATGCAAAGAAGCTAATACGGCCAGCGTTTTACCAACGTTCGCGTTCTAATATTACCCCAGAGGTGATTTGAAGGCGAACAAGGGCAGCAACAACCATGTTAACTACGACAATCTGTAGCCTCCATATGAGGGATACTATGCCCATGAGGTAAAAGCATATAGAAAACGGGCATGGCTGCGGAAATAGAAGTCTGCGCTGCTTAGCGGTGAGCGAACTGCCATGGAGAGTACGGTTTAGGCACACTGTAAGGGAAAATTAGCCGAGATGTAAATTTTTTCAGCTTATGAGCCCCCAAAACTCGCGTGCCCCAATTATTTACTCTCTGGAACGAAGTGAACTCGGCACACGTCGTCACAAAACACCCCCTGCTTAATGACAGAGATTAGGAGTGACGTGGCCTTGTTAAACTCCTCATAGAGTGTCAGGTCTCGTGGTTACAAGCTCCCTATGGGAGTTTTAAAAAGCCTTTTTGGTCGTGACGTGCGTACGTGCATGTGAGTGTTTGTGTGTATGTACGGGCATCTGTTTGCATGTCGGCGTGAAACACCAGTGCTTTGTGTGGCTGACTAGGTGAACATCTGTCGACAGGCAACGAAATTATCAGTGCAGCGAAGATTTGTAACCACCTGTTGATGTTACGTGTGACTGTTTCAATGTATTTCACACCGCTAAACCACGCTGGACATCGGTTCGATTCGTATACAAAATGCCGCGAATGCCTCGCTTCAGAGGGCCGAGTTACAAAACATTTCGAAGAATATTTTAAAGGTAACAAAAGTAAGCTAGCTTTTGTGATCGTCAGCAATTGCTCCTAGAGTTTCACTGTCTAAAACTTCGAAGCGGTCCGAAGTAGGCTTCGCTCGACCACGTCAGGCTGGCCAGTAAACGGTGCGAGAGTTGCTCCGGCGACGCACTCGGCCCGACTCCACCGACGGGGGCTTCTCGGAGTGCCACCGGTATTTCACGGGCTCCAACATTCAAGCGGTAAGAATGCCTCACTATGCCGTCGGTTTCAAGCCGGCGATGCAGCGAACTCGCATTGCGTGCCGGGCGCCACGGCGAGCTCTACGATCTAGCACTGACTACACTGACTACTTCACAAAAAATAAAAGCTACACTGACTACACTGACTACTTCACAAAAAATAAAGGCTGCTTAAATGAATGACAGTCTTCTACACCTTGTGATTGCAGCTGTCAAACGACTAACACGAGGGCGGGAGCCGAACGAGGCGGAGACGCACAGAAACGGCGTACGGCTTCCATGCCCAAGCAATGTATTTGAGCAACGAAAACCGCGACTGCAAACCGTCTTGATCGTTTAAGTCCATCGCTCCGTAGCTTTAACTACGTAGATAGCGGACAACTATTTCTGTGCCCGAGAAAATTAACGAGACGAAAACTGCACAGCGGGACGAGATTTGTAATCACCAGCTGTCTTTCATTGTATAACCGTGCCGTATATATTCCTTAGTGAGGCCTTGTCGTCGAACGCGGTAGCGGCGGTGTATCTCGGTTCATTGCTGGAGCTGCTGAATGTGCCTCGTTGATGTGTTCATGCACAGCAGCTCGGGCTTTGTGTACAATTCAGTGCATTTTACGGATTCACGCACAGGACTGCTAATGCAAATTCAGCCCACATGACAGAGCAACAACTGACAAAGCCCTTTCACTATAGGTAAAAACGTATATTAGTATGTGGGCTTAAGATAAAAGGCATGTGTGCTGAAGTTCCTACATCAGGCCGACGCGAATTTATACCTATGATATGCATGCTTATTTCTTAATTATTAGTAAAAAAGGGTCCCTCCCGAGCTAAATGGGAGGTCAGAATATGATGCTTATATACACGCTGTGACTGAAACGTGGGCGTGCAGCGCGAGCGGCAAGCTGTGGTGACTGTGAATGTTGTAATAATACGTGAACATTGTGTGCATGTTCTGGTAATGTGTTCAATATTGTGTGCTTCGATTGTAAGTAAATTAAAGTTACGCTTTCGTATGATACGGCTGCTGACGTGATTTTTTTTCTCACCAGATGTAAAAATTTACTCCCATACTGACCTGAAAAAGTTCCACGATGAATGTAAATAAAAACTCCCCTAAATCAATCCAAGAACCACCTCCTGTTGGGGAGTAAACAAGTCGTTGGGGAGTAAACAAGAACAAGTCGTTTACTCCCATATCGACTTATTTTTGTTTACAGAGCGCTATTCACTAGGACAATGCTCTTGACAGCGTAACCCTCTCATTTTCAGACACCTCGCCGCTATAGACAGCACAAAGAGCCATTTTTGCAATCACTTTTGTTATCTGTACACTTTTGTTTATGAGTGCACGTTTGTTTTGAAATGTGTCGGAGTGATATGTTTTATTGGGAAGAGTTTAATACCTAGATAACATCACGTTGATTTTAAGGTTTTCCTGGAGAAGAAAGAGTACTTCTTGATGTTAATGATAGGTTGTGCCTCCTGTATGCGCTTTCTAGACAGACTCGCAAGTGCTGAAAAAACTAGTAACGCCCCCTAATCTTACTGAAAAATACACACTAGGTATCTTGAGTTCAAATACTAGCTGCCCTGCTTACACCAACATTACGCGAATTTCTAGCCTACTTGTGGTGCCTGGAAAAAAGAATCTAAAATAAAATAAAATCATTGCGTGACTGAAAGCCTCTACGGCTTCGAAGTTCCAGTTCTACACGAACACCAAATGTGAGCTGAACTCCACATTACGACCCTTCAGTGGCACAGAAATTGCCTGACGTGTGGCAAGACTTCTGATTAAGTTTACCATTTGAATAGTAGTTTGATTTCAGCTACAGAAGCTCTGTGGTAACCCGTGAAGGTGGTAGACAGGTCTGTGACCCCGTAAAGTACACGTAGTATTCCTAACTCATAGCCTTGTAGGTACTCTCCAAGTTGGACGCTGGTCTCCATTATTATCAATACATTTGCATTTTTCGCAAATATAACCCAATATTAGATATACTCTTCGGCCAAAGTATTTGCTGCAGTTAGTTTTGTATATACAGGCATCTGTTGTAAGCAGCACATGAATATTTAACACGTCATTACTAACTGCTTTTATGTCTTGGAAATAAACAAGTTCTTTATTGATGATTTTTGCCCAAATGCGTAGCATCAATAGTTTGTTAATAAACATTGGCCAATTAGTCAATTGAGTAGAACACATACAATTGTGTGACGACTAAAACAATTATCAGATAGGGCGCAACACACAAACACCTATATACATATACCTATATATATATATATATATATATATATATATATATTATGCATTGAGTTCAGTTTATTGAATAATTTCGCAAAGAGGTTGCGACGACGCCAGGCGAAAAAGCTGCACTGAGCAGCTTGAGGCTCGGGATGAGTGCACGTACCAGAATCGTGGTAATACGCATCGTCTTGTTTCTCAGCGTACTCAGCACTTCTTCCTGGAAGGCCTTCTCCGTACGCGCAATGTGCAGACCCGAGGTTGCACTCCATGTTCCCACCTAGTAAGCGCACAAAAAGGGAAACGAAAGATAAGCTGATAAATACGCTGTAATCATGCACTTACGCTGTTTTCGCCAGAAGGGCAAACAAACAAATAGTTACATCGGTAACATACATCAAAAACAGTGATCCTAGGGCAATCTGTGTAGCTTAGTAGATGCTTAATACCATGGGCTGACGCATACATGGCAATAGTGCTGATGTTGTACTGTACGTTGCCTCAATAATAAAATATCGGCAAAACTATAAATATTTAACGGTAAGATCTTAGGTGTTCACGTGTTCATAAAAATACTTCGAGTTCTCGCTATAGTATTGCAAATACCCACAACGAAAACATTCTCGAGTAGAGTTTTTTTTTCTTTGTGTATTACAAAACAAGCTACAAATTCGTAATACGGAAAAAATTAAAACATCGGTAGACAGGTTTCACTATTGGGAGTTGATTCTGATAAAGCCCTGTGGTCGTGAGGAAGATGCTCTCAACATTACATGGAAAACTCCAATAAGACTGCTCAACGTAGTGCATATGCCTGCCATGTTATCAAACGTGGACAACAAAATGATGTGCCGAGTAGCGCTGTCATTCTCCAGATTTTTACGAAGCACCACAAAGTAAAGACTTTGTAGGAATTGACAAGCTGAATAGTTCTGACTGCTAAACTAAAGCGTCATCGTATTATACGCCCCACAATTGAACGTTAACATTTACATATAAAGCAAAATATTTTAGTCGTAACATACTACCTATTGGAAGCTATTTGGAATTACCCAACCTGTGAAGCAACAAAAGTTCACGCATAGACAACTATTTACCCACAAACTTTTCTATATACACGTCATGAATGTCGCACCAATCGCGATTCTGCCCCCAATCTATAATACAATAATAAAAGAGATCTTGAGACATGCTCTGCCCCGTTAAAATAGAAATATTTAAAGTTTCAGCTCATTGCACTTGGTCACATGACAATATATTCTACCAGAATAAACACTCAAGTAATGGTAATCTATTGAAGCAAATGAATCCTATACCCCGCGACAACTTTCTGTGGCAGCACAGCCAAGGCTACGGAGCCGAAGCACGCTTGTCTTACTGCGCCACAGCATGTAGTCCCTCAACGAAAACGTTTGTATACTGTTCTGGGTAACTAAGATTTTACCATTCGTCACTTACATTTTTCGCGGATTTATTTTTTAATTAGTGAATAAAAACGTTGCGCAGTAGAAAAAATTTTGTTTCACGCTCTCTCAGGTTTTTTGGGGGTTTTTTGGCTTCTGTCGCCTTTTTACCTCACCGCATTCCTCACTGTCAAAGATGGCGTCCGCCGGTTACAGCTCGTCAACGTCGCTTACGGAGGAAAAACCGCCGCGTTCCGCGAGTCCACCAGCTGCGCAGCCGTACCAGGCGTTGTCAAATCAAAAGCTGTCCGTACAGGCCAAGAAGGTGGCGTACAACGTTTACGCGCAAGTAAGGAAAAGCGACCCGCAGCTGTCTGTGAGAGCCGCATGTCGGAAAGTCAGTGAGCTCACTGAGTTAGCGAGCGCAGTGTCAAAAACGGTACGTGCATGATGAGTTGTGTAACCATTACATGAATAATTGAATGTATCATTCACCCAGCAACCTGGGTCCACGCGTCAGTAAATCACGTCACAATATTATTAAAAATTGCTCCCGAGTTCCCAAAGATGCGACTCGCGTTTCCTGCAGCGAAACGCGAGCAAACGCGAGCCGACGCGGAGTGCGAGACGCGGACTGCGCTGGTGAAATCGAAACCGAAACACCCGTCAAGCGGTCGGACTACTTGGCGCAGTAGCACATGTGCATAGGCTCCGCCCACGTAGCCTTGGCCGTGCTGCCACAGAAAGTTGTCGCCGGGTATAAATGTCAATGTGTGAGTAAAAATGAATTAAAAAGGAACTACAAGGTCGTTCGACGAGAACTGAGCGCGGGTCGAGTGCTTAGTCTACCAATTGGTGAGCCGCGGCTGCCTTTCGTGCTCTTGAGCTCGCCCCCTTGAGCTCGCCCCCTCGAGTTGATGCTAGACAGCAAGGCGGTGTCGGGCGGTTGCGTATGAATGTGTGAATTCGCAAAAAAAACCGACGTCGGGTGCATGTGAAATCACTCGGAGTATTGATACATCGAGATATCTGGCCACAATTTGCCAGATGACCATATCCTTCTGTCGGCAAAATATACCAGCATGCATTTACAATGACTGTACGTAGCATGCCGTGTGCTTTCGTTTCCCAGCCAGTGCTCGCATCACAAACGTCGGCAATTTTGGTGGGTTTGTTCAAATGAGATCTTTGCATCTATGTTTCCACTTCGTGCGAAAGTGGGCTAATTGACCTTTTAGTTATAATCACAGTGCTCATGCTAGGAATGACGTGAACGCCGGTGTTCATAGGTAAATTTCTTCGACAAAGTTCCTGGTGTCTTCGCATCTGATCATGATATAAAAGAGGGCTGATGAATAAGACTGTTAAGCTCACATAAATTTTACTCATTTTTGTGCAGTATTGGTATTGTGACCACACGAATGACCTCTCGCACGGAGTGAAATCATGCCACACGGGTTCATTGCCATGCCACGCGGGAGCACATGGGTTCATTGCGCGTTGTCAGAATGGCAATTTCTGATGCCATCTCCTGATTCCTGAGAGTATAACAACGGGAACAAGCTATTACTCTACCCTTTCCTTCATTTTATAGCGATGGTCTCCTTCTGGCAAACTTTATGGCCTGACGAGGTGCGCGAGGTGTTATTCGTCAGTCGCCATCTCGTATAAGATCACTCACAATGTGACACCGAACAGCTCAGAAGAGTGTCAGCGCCGTGGCAAATGGTGGCACTGACTGACTCTCCCACGTTGAAGACACGTATATACACCGTAAAATGACCGCGAGGAATATCTGCCGTCATAGCTCAGTTGGAATACCCTCTACACATGTGAGAGCCAACCAGCCCAGATGAGGAGAAATCGAGACATTGGAAATAGCCCCATTTGTGGTGACCGTTTTTGCAGATGAACAGGCCAGACGAAACCCTTTTCCTCCATGGCTGTCACCCTGGTACGTGCTACGCTCAGTACATTACTTGAAATGTTCGCGAAACTGGGAAGGATGCAAACTTGGGGTGTCGGTGGGTAGGACGGGTGGTGAACATCGGCCAAGAAGTTGTGGTTTGAGTGGTGTGAGTGAGTCGTGTAGTGCCGTCAGCAGATCTTGAAGAGTCGAGTTATGACGCCGCTGAAGTACTTCATTGAAAAGTGCCACCGGAGCGACCCCCAGCGCTGGGGTTCATTTCAGGGCTTCCTTGAAGAGAAATTTTCTAAAAACGTTCGAAGAATTTTTGAGTATACGCGTGTGGAAAATATTTGAAGCCGCTAAGTATTCTTGTGAAGTTTATGATGCGTGAGATTGCACATGTAGCGCGGTATATTTGTTCCCGTTGTTTTAAATACCTTCTAAGTGATTTTGTGAGTTGTACCTGGTAGTTGCCAAGTATGCAAGTTTTTGCGATGCCTTTGTTGATAATATATATTTTATATCGTAAGCTCTTGCTTTTCAACTCGGTATTCAGACTTAAACCGGCGTTTTAATGGACGAAAAAAGCATAATTTAAATTATGCGTGCTTTCGCGGTGCTTTTCGGTGGGCCGATACGTCAGCCTTTCGAATATACCCGGCGGTTGTTTTTCTATGAATGGAATAAGTGACCATTTTCATTTCAGGTGAATCAAACGGGCAGCATTTGTGGAGAGTGTTGAGGCCTATACTCTACAAATGATTGGCCCTCCTAGGGCAAATTGTTCGCATATGTAGCATAATAGATACTATTAATAACGATTCAGAATTGAACCTGTGATGTGCAGCCATGAAACGCGTTATTTATGGCCTACAGTGCTGCGAAGAAGTGCTTGTGAAAGTTTCTCCAGGAAAAAGCGCTGCCACCAGATTGGGTGCGAGGTGAACCAGGCCCATCCCGCCGCTTCAGTGGCACACAGCAGGCCGCACCTTGTTTTTATCCAGTGTTCGTGGAACTCCACACAAACAATACGTTTCATAGTTATCATCAAAGTAATCTATCATAAAAGTATATGTGTCCAGCAAGACACCTAAGATAATGATCCTTCGCCTGCCACAGCTCTTTGATTAACGAGGTGTTCTGCAATGGTAAGCTCGAGGCTGCGTTTTGAACAATGCGTCCGCATCGATGAAAGCGTGATAAAAAAAAGATACATTTTATCGTTAAGCTTAGCAAGCCCACTCATAAAATCTCATGCATGTGAACGATAACCTAATGGTGTTGCTTTAGGAGATTGAAATCTGGCGAATACCGAAGCAGCGACTAATCTGTATTGCGCAAACCTTCTTGACATGGCCACGGCATGTTTGTTCAGGAAGGCACACAGAAATTAAAGAACTCTTCACTCCAAATTCGAAAGCTCAAAATGCTTATCTTGTCTGATAGTCCTGCATGCGGGACCAACTCTGACCAATTATTTCTGGTGAGCGTAGCCTAAGAGATATTTTTAAATGCGAAGCATTTCTTTGCGAACTTCGACGACTTTGAGCGTATCTATCTATCTAGCCGCCTACGGCTTTTAGCTCTTCTGGCCGTTTGGATATTGGCATCGATACCAAACTTGGTATGGCATAACATGACAGTATGAAGAACAAATTTGATTAGTCATAACATGAAAATCATGATATATATATTTGTTAAGTCATAATTCACATTTCATGGTTCTGCAGCTCTTGCGGTGGTTTCGCTCACATGCCATGTTGTGAAGCTCGTATGGTAAGACATGATTGAATGGTCAACACAACGGACAAGCCTTAACATGAAAATCATGCCATGTGTGTCATGTAACAACATGACTACATGTCACACCCATGATGCGCTAGCGGCCATTTCGCTAGCGTCACATATACCAAATTTGGTATTACGGTACGTGAATGGATCACGAGGGCATGTGACTAGTGCAAACAT